TGGACTGTTTAGGGGTTAATAGCAAACACCAGTATCCAGTGGTACCTCGAGTTTCGGCCATAATTCTTTCCAGAAGGCTGTTCGAGTGCCATTACTGAACAAATTTGTTCCCATAAGGAATAATGTAAATTAGATTAGTCCATTTCAGACCCCCAAAAATACACTTACAAAAGCACTTACAAAAATACACTTACATAATTGTTCGAGTTGGGAACTGTTTGAAACTCGAGGTACCACTGTATCTCCATCAAGGGGCTAACCTAGTCAACTTGGCCTGTCAACATAGGAGTGCCTCAGTGCAATGTTCTCGGCCCTCTGCTTTTCCTCATATAGTACATCAATGATATTTCCAGAGCATCTTGTTCACCTGAGCCTGTTCTGTTTGAAGATGACAACTTTTGTCATCTCTCACTCAGATCCAAATTCTGTCAATAACACTGTTAATGAGTGACTCATAAGAATATCTACCTGGATGAATAACAGTAAACTCACTCATAATATTGCCAAAACCTTCTACATGATGTTTGGAAACAAAGCTGCAAATGTTCAACTATTGAAAGACTGATTAAAAATTCTTAGGTCTGTACCCTGACTGCAAGTTGAGTTCAGTACTCACATCCAGCACATAATAAGTGTCTCCAAATCAGAAGGCATCCTCTCTTAGGATTTAATACTATGTACCTCAAGCAGCACCACTTACTTTATACTATTTTCTAATGTATCCTTGGCTCACCTATAGTATTTGTGCCTGGGGATCTGGAGTTTACCTGGAGAGAGTTCCGGGGGTCAACACCCCTATGGCTCGGTCTGTGACTAGGGCTCATGGTGGATCAGGGCCTGATCAACCAGGCTGTTACTGCTGGCTGCATGCAATCCAGCGTACGAACCACAGCCTGGCTGGTCAGGTACCGACTTTAGGTGCTTGTTCAGTGCCTGCTTGAAGATAGACAGAGGTCTATTGGTAATCCCCCTTATGTATGCTGGGAGGCCCCTGACACTTATTGTGTTGTCTCTTAACTGGCTAGTGACACCCCTGCTTTTCATTGGGGGGATGTTGCATCGTCTGCCGAGTCTTTTGCTTTCGTTGTGAGTGATTTTTGTGTGGAAGTTCGGTACTAGTCCCTCTAGGATTTTCCAGGTGTATATAATCATGTATCTCTCCTGCCTGCATTCCAGGAAGTACAAGTTCAGGAACTTCAAGCGCTCCCAGTAATTAAGGTGTTTTATGCGTGCTGTAACGGTTCTCTGTGCAATTTCTAGGTCAGCAATTTCACCTGCCTTGAAAAGTGCTGTTAGTGTGCAGCAATATTCCAGCCTAGATAGAACAAGTAACCTGAAGAGTGTCATCATGGGCTTGGCATCCTTAGTTTTAAAGGTTCTCAGTATCCATCCTGCCATTTTTCTAGCAGGTGCGATTGATAAAATGTTATGGTCCTTGAAGGTGAGATCCTCCGACATGATCACTCCCAGGTCTTTGACGTTAGTTTTTCGCTCCATTGTGTGGTTGGAATTTGTTTTATACTCTGAAGAAGTTTTAATTTTCTCGTGTTTACCATATCGGAGTAATTGAAATTTCTCATCGTTGAACTTCATATTGTTTTCTGCAGCCCATTGAAAGATTTGGTTGATGTCCGCCTGGAGCCTTGCAGTGTCTGCAATGGAAGACACTGTCATGCAGATTCGGGTGTCATCTGCAAAGGAAGACATGGTGCTGTGGCTTACATCCCTGTCTATGTCAGATATGAGGATGAGGAACAAGATGGGAGCGAGTACTGTGCCTTGCGGAACAGAGCTCTTCATCATAGCCGCCTCAGACTTTACTCTGTTGACTACTACTCTTTGTGTTTTGTTTGTCAGGAAATTATAGATCCATCTACCAACTTTTCCTGTTATTCCTTTAGTACGCATTTTGTGTGCTATTATGCTATGGTCACACTTGTCGAAAGCTTTTGCAAAGTTTGTGTATATTACATCTGCATTCTTTTTGTCTTTTAGTGCATTTAGGACCTTGTCGTAGTGATCCAGTAGTTGGGACAGATAGGAGCGACCTGCTCTAAACCCATGCTGCCCTGGGTTGTGTAATTGATGGGTATCTAGATGAGTGGCGATCTTGTTTCTTAGGACCCTTTCAAAAATTTTTATGATATGGGATGTTAGTGCTATCGGTCTGTAGTTCTTTGCTATTGCATTACTGCCCCTTTGTGGAGTGGGGCTATGTCTGTTGTTTTTAGTAACTGTGGGACAACCCCAGTGTCCATGCTCCCTCTCCATTGGATGTCAAAAGCATGTGATAGGGGCTTCTTGCATGAACACGGAGTTCCACGAGTCTGGTCTTGGGGAAGAGTGCATGGGCATGTCATTTATTGCCTGTTCGAAGTCATTTTGGCATCAGGATAACGTCAGATAGGCTTGTGTTTGCCAAATTCTGTGGCTCTCTCATATAAAAATTCATTTAGATCTTCGGCTCTCAGTCTGGTTAGTGGGTTGCTAAAAACTGAGTCGTATTGGGACTTGAGTAGCTCACTCATTTGTCTGTCTGGGGCTCCGTGCATACATGTCTGAACCTCGATTGTGTTGTGATATGAGTATATTGCTTTTGATATGGTGACATTTCATATCAGATCATCATTGTCAGTGAAGGTGTATTCTCCAGTCTAGTAGGCTCTATTATTTGCTGGTTTATGTGAACTTTGTGCAAAGATTTTGTGCCAGACAACATGCTTCCCCATTCATTACACTTAATCTTTATGCATAATTTTCACTCATACTGCTGTGCATACTACATATACAGGACACTCAATTCTAATATTAATCCTGCTCTGAAATTCTTTATTGATAGTTGCAGCAGAACTCAGGCATAATATTAGACACAAAAATCTCTATAATATTCCCAATGTCCAACTCGACCTGTGTAAAACCTTGATATGAATAAAAGGACCTAAAATCTGGAACTCTTTTCCTGAAGAGTCCAGAGGTTCCCTATCTGCCATCTACTTCAAACCTACTGTTAAAAAGCATCTGCATTCTTTAATGTGATGTCCCTGTTCTTGTTTTATCGATCCTTTAACTCTCATTTATTACTAGATAGGTATATACATGTACTGTCTCATCATATTTTTGTATCAGTTCAGGTAACTAGCTTCATTCTTATTGTAACTTTTATTAGAAGTTTATTTTGAATTAATTGAATGCTTTTAATATATGTACAGTATGTACTAGTATAATCTAAGTTTTCTTATTCTCAGGTATGTATCTTGCTATGATTTTATCTGCTGCATATATATTTGAGTAATTTTCATTTACTTTAAAATACCATCTCACATTTGTAATACGGTAATTAATTCTGAGATTTTTCAGTCCACATTTCTTCACTAATATTTCCCACCAAAAAAACAAGAGCTCAACACACACATGCACCAAATAGTCATATACAGTACAAAAAAAAATGAATATTGTCAAAAAAAATTAAATCAAGATCACTGTATAGTAGGACCGCTCTATCCACAAGTCCAGTTTCTGAGGTTTCAGTTATCCGCCGTTTACCCTGGCATGAAAATAACCCTTAATTTTACATAATAATGTGACACCAAAGTTCAAAAGTAGCGATGATGACCGTTCTCTAAGCCTAAGAGAAGTCGTGAAGTGCTTCCTATCGGTGAAAAATTGCTAATTCTCAACTTACTGTGCATAATTTATCGATTAACTTTATCGTAAGTATGTATGTAAATGAAAAATTACTTAAATACAGTGGTACTTTGACTTATGAGTGCCCAAACTTACAAGTTTTCTGAGTTACGAGTCGTCGCTTGGTCAATTTTTTGCTTTGAGTTGCAAACCAAAATCCGAGTTATAAGTGAAAAAAAAAATATTTACTGAAAATGACATTTGGCAAGAACCTCGGCCTAAATGGCACAATGAAGGGTAGTTTTGGGACTTGGTACTTATAAAACAATGCTAGTATGATGTTCTCACTGGACGTAATCATGTAATTATCTTGAGTTATTCTGAATCCAAAAAATTGATTTGCTAAGTTTTTGACATTTGCAAAATATCTTGCTCTTTACTCCCACACAAATTCCAAAATATTTGGAATATTTCCAATAATCCACAAACCAAGAACAATCATTTTTTTATGATTCATGTCAATATTATTGTCTTTACTTCAATAATAAATGGTGGGCTTCATGAAATAGGTCAATAACTTCTGAGATATTGATATATCACTGCACTAGTGCAGTTAGCCTCTCAAAAACTCTGTTTTCTCTTACCCAGGACCAAAGATTATTATTATTATTATAATCAAAAATAAGCGCTAAGCCACAAGGACTATACAGCGCTGCTCCAGGACCAAAGAACACATTATAGGAAGGAGCAGTAATAATTTTATATGCTCGGACTGGTCCTGGACGCTCGCCATATTATGGCCTATTTTATTCATTCTAGAGTATATATCATGTTTCTATGTTACTTGTAGTGTTTGTCATATTCAATCAATACTGATAAATAAATAAGCCTTAGAGTTGATATTAGTGTTATGTTGAAGTATTTTCTCCTGCCCTCGGGGTGGTTTTTTGGTGGCTGGAGCAGACTACTGGCATTTCAGTTAATTTCAATGAGGAAAATTGATTTGATACATGAGCAAATTGAGTTATGAGGTCGGTCACGGAATGAATTAAGCTCGTAAGTGAAGGTACCACTGTATAGGGTTTGCTACTATTCGCGGTTTTGGGTTTCGCGGTAGGTCTTCAGATATGGAGGTCCTACTATATAATACAAATTAAAAAACAATCTGAGTTTCTTTATTTTATCTAAAAAAATATGAGCAGACCACCTAGGTACTGAAGTTAGTTGCAGCTGTATCACTTATGCCATATCCAGAGTAGCCTTTGAAAGATAGTGCCTGTGAAAGTCCCTTGGTTAATGAAGAGTCAAAATAAAGGCAGAAAGATAATGTAATTACTCTATATCAGTTTACAAAACAGTTCATGTTTTCTTCCTAGTGCACAGCAACCATTGCTACACTGTATCACAGCTCAGATGAGCACAGCCAGCAAGACCCAACTGCTCAAGTAAAAGAGGTTCGGGAGCGACCTGAGGAAGGGAGCCTTGTGACATCTACTGGTTAGTCATAACAGGATGATTTTACAAGTGGTCTTCAGTAGTAGTAACATAAAAAGATTCCTATTTAAGTGTTTATATAATCACTTATTATATAATCAATAAAATTCATTATTAGCCTCGTGTAGCTGAAAATATATGTAATAATTGTATTTCTGGTCACCGTTATACAGAGAGGAGTATTTATGCTTCATAACATATAACTCTCTTAATAGATACACTTTTTTTAGGAGTAAAATATATTTAGATACATGCTGTTGAATGTTTTGAACAAGAGTACATATATACACTTTGCCACTAGTGTAGTGTTATTAAGGTACTCTCATTATTATTATTATCACATTGATGGGAAGTCAGTAAACCTGTAGAGCCATACAGCACCTACAGAATGAGAGATAAACAGATTTGGTCAAAGAAAGGGAAGACAGTTTTGGTTCTTCATATTAAAAGACCTTGAGCAGTATCAAGGTACTGTTTCTCTTGAAAGGTATTACCTGGTAGATAAAGTTGATATTCTTTAATGAGATGTAAATGAGTTTTATTATTTTCTATATTAGTTATGGTCATGTTGATATTTCAGATTCAAGTATCATACTATACATTAATATTGATATTAGCTATCTTTTCTTTATTGTCAAGAAATTATAGAAAAAATCAAACACACTTAAGGTGAATACAGTACAGTACTTCAAAATCTGTATAACTAATATTAGCTTTACTGTTTGTTTGCATAGTATGTGCATGTTAATGGTGTTGCTGTCTTCATTAATTCAGAATCATTTAGTTTTGTATGTTACCTTGATTTGTATTACTTTCTAATTTTTTTATTTTTTGTCCTAGCAGACCCAGGCGCTAGTTCTACATCAGTATCAAATGGGCTTATAAAGCGACTTCTAGCACTCCACGCCATATTCCTCATATTTGTACATCTTCTGCGGTAGAGGAGCTCTTTCTTTACCCTTGTGTGTCTCCATCATATGCTGTCCATAACAAAGGGATGTAACAAAAATTATGTGACTAATATCTTCATTTTGATTGGAAAGAAATTCACATATTAATTTGAGATGTATATATAACTATCTTTAGAAAAAAAGGTTCTTACTTTAAAGATGTCAAAGTATTTGAAAGCCACTTCATGTATATATATATGTGTGTGTGTATATATATGTGTGTGTGTATATATATATATATACAGGTCCTCCATCACAAATCCGGCATCAATGGGACCTGTATTGTGCCGGATTACTGAGTTTGCCAAATTACAGAGTGGTTAGGTTAGAATACACTTAATAAAATTAATCAACTTGAATTACACAGTTTCATTGAACATCCGCAAAAACCGAACATTTCCGCTACTTTGAGCTCAATTTCAAGGTACTTTTCGTCATGAAAACAATCAAAATCATGTCTATTTCTGTAATATATCTTCCATTCTATCAAATGAGTCCAAAAAATGAGAATACAACCATAAAAACCATACGAAAATATACTGTAAAGAGGCGGCTAATGGCTGAGAAGTGAACTCCCTTATTTATCATCTGTCATTTTTATTTTTGTTGTATGTTAAGAAGCATCTTTCCATCATACATTGCCCAAGTTTCAATGAGATAGCCCAACAAACAATCGAGAAAAAAAAATATTTACCAAAAATCATATATGGCAAGCCCAAACCAGGTACTGGAAATAAGTCACTTTGACTTTTCTGGGTTATCCTAGGTTCTCTATACATACACTGCTATGTATGATAATCTATGTAACTGTATTTGTGTATACCTGAATAAACTTATTTACTTCTAGTCTCTCAACTGAGTACAAGAAACCGCCCATTCACTTATTTCAACTACCCAATAAAGTGGTCAGAAATTGGCAGTTTGGCCGATTTCACACAAATTTCAACAGATGCCAATTTCAAAATAGGATCCAGAATAAACAATGCAGACATTCCTGGCACTAAAATAACATTTTCTCTGTTCATTAGTCACGGCTCCAGGCCCCTCCTATATTACTCTTGCTTACCATTTGGAATTTTTATTCACAAAAAAAAAAAAAAAATAGAAGATTTACTGTTATGCAGACTACTGCATTATTGTAATAATTGTATAAATAATGTCAATCCATTCTTGACTCTGTACTGGAATTTATATTGGCAGGCGGACAGGTATTGGACGGTGTTTACTCTTGAGCTTCGCTAAAGAATAGAGCATTTCCGCTACTGTGAGCGCAATTTCAAGGTACTTTTCGTCATGAAACCAATCAAAATCATATCTATTTCTGTAATATGTCTTTCATTCTATCAAATGAGACCGAAAAAATGAGAATATAACCATAAAAACATACAAAAATATACCGCTAAGCGGCCGCTAATGGCTGAGAAGTGAACTCCACTATTTATGGACTGATTTCTTTCATTTTTGGTGTACGTGAAGAAGTATCTTTCCATCATACATTGCCCAAGTTTGAATAAGATAACCCAACAAACAACTGAGAAAATAATAGTAATAATAATAATAATAATAATAATAATATCTTTATTTACTACACATACATGTACAAGGTATACAGGCCTAGCTGACATCAGTGACATACTACTGTATAGAAAGCCACTTGTTATGCTGAGTATTTCAAGAAAATTAGGTCAGTGTCCCAGGATAACACCCACACTAGTCGGCTAACACCCAGGTACCCATTTACTGATGGATAAACATAGACAACAGTGTAAAGAAACACACCTAATGTTTCTACCTTGGCTGGGAATCGAATATTTACCAAAAATCATATATGGCTAACCCAAGCCAGGTACTAAAAATAAGCCACGTTGACTTTTTTGTGGTTATCCTAGGTTCTCTACACATATGCTGCTATGTGTGATAATCTATAGAGAGAAAATAACTTTTTTGTTTCATGTTTATTGTGGAGTACGAGTGTATATCATAGTTAGCCCTGTGTTATACTCTGTTTTCTCTAATATAAGCCACCAAGACAAGGATAGGAGAATGGTATTTGTTTACCATATCCTCTTCATTCCTCCGTCGAACTGCTCGGTGTTATGCCGAATATTATTCATTCTGGAGTAGTTAACATGTTTTATGTTATTTATATTGTTTCTTATGTCATATTAGATTAATTTTGATAGGCAAATAAGCTGTAGTGTTGATATTAGCATAATAATAAAGCATATTCTCCTGCATTATGAGACTGAGTTCATGGCAACCGACAGTGGCTTCAAAGCCACCTTATCTTTAATGGATAATGTACTGTGTAGGGGCTTTACATAATGAGAAGCATTTCTTTTATTCATTGGAGCCATGGCTAGGGCTAAAAGTAAGCAGGTTAAAACAATAAATGGAAAAAAGAAATTGGAATGACTTATGCAGCAAGTAGCGCCACTAAACAGTACCAGCAGGTTGGTGTGGCGACCCTGGAAATTTGAAATTATGCTAGCCAAAATTAGTGCCGAATAACTGAAGGAACCGAATAACTGATTGCCGGATTTGTGATGGCGGACCTGTGTGTGTGTGTGTATATATATTTTTTTTTTCCAACAAGTTGGCCGTCTCCCACTGAATATATATATATATATATATATATTATAAATATATATATATATAATATATATATATATATAAATATATATATATAATAATATATATATATATATATATATATATATATATATAATATATACTGTATATATATATATACTGTATATATATATATACTGTATATATATATATACTGTATATATATATATACTGTATATATATATATACTATATATATATATATATATATATATATATATATATATATATATATATATATACACATATATATACATATACAGTGGACCCCCGCTTTACCCTCAGCTCCCAATGCGACCAATTATGTAAGTGTATTTATGTAAGTGCGTTTGTACATGTATGTTTGGGGGTCTGTAATGGACTAATCTAATTCACAATATTCCTTATGGGAACAAATTCATTCAGTAATGGCACCTGAACATACTTTTGAATGAAATAATATCGTAAGCTGGGGGTCCACTGTATATTAATATATATACAGTGAAACCTCTACTAACAAGTTTAATCTGTTCCATAACCTTGCTCGCATCTGGATTTGCTCGTTTACAGAGTAAGTTTTCCTCATTTAAATTAATTGAAATGGAATTAATTCGTTACAGTGGAATTCCAGGCACCATAAAATACTTCAATAATTTCCCTAATATTAACTGTATGACTTATTTATCTATCACAATTTATGTAATATGACATAATAAACAATATAAATAACATAGAAACCTGATATATACTCTAGAATGAATAAAATATGTCATTATACATGTGGCGGCGTCGGCGCCCGACGAGTGTTTGTCTGGAGCCAGGACAAAATACTCCTTGAATATTTCGCTATCATCAATTTTTCTATCACAATTCATCTGATATGATATAATAAACAATATAAATAACATAGAAACCTGATATATACTGTAGAATGAATAAAATATGTCATTATGTGACAAGTGGAGGTGGCCATAACTGCTCCAGCATTGTTGTGTTAAACACTGCCATCTAATGACAGCCTTTTGAAGCCGTCTATTATTATAATTATTATTATATAGTACATTATTATACATGTATTATTATTATATGTATTATATTATAATTATTATTATTATATTATATTACTATACTATTATTATATGTATTATTATTATTATTCATATTATTGTTATCTGATTTTATCACTATCTGATGGCATCGTTATCTGAGGGTCCACTGTAGTATTATTATTATTACAAGATAAATAATTTGGAATTTTTATTCACATAAAAAATAAAAGATTTACTGTTATGCAGACTACTGCATTATTGTAATAATTGTATAAATAAGGCCACTCCATTCATGACTGCATGTTGGAATGGAGGTGACGTCATTTGTTTACTCTTGAACATCGGCAAAAATAGAACATTTCTGCTGTTTTGTGCTCATTTTCAAGGTACTTCTCATCATGAAACCATTCAAAATCATATCTATTTCTGTAATATATTTCATTCTATCAAATGAGACCAAAAAAAACAAGAATTACAACCATAAAAGCATACGAAAATACCGCTAAGGGGCAGCTAAATTCTGAAAAGTGAACTCCATTATTTATGGTCCGATTTCTTTCATTTTTGGTGTACGTTAAGAAGCATCTTTCCATCATACATTGCCCAAGTTTCAATAAGATAGAACAACAAACAAATGAGATCCAATTCCCTGGATCAAGGAACCTCCTTTGAGGCCCGCTCACTTATGGAAATTTCGCTTATGTATGGAAGCAAAAAAATGTACCAAATGTATGCGTAGATGCGACCGCACTGGCTGGCTTGTAAACACTGGTGCTGAGGCCACACGTGGGATGCATCCCGGACGAATCATGTAAGGCGAGTTTTTTATTGTGAAGCAAGGCAAAATTTTTGCGTTCAAATGCTTCCTAACGTAACGCGATGCATTCGTAAGGCGGGGGTCCACTGTATATATATATATATATATATATATATATTGTATATTATACAGTGGAACCTCTGGTCACAAATGCTTCCAAACATGAACAACTCAGTTCATGACCAAAAAATTAGCCAAATTTTTGCATCTAGTCACAAACATAATCGGGTGCTGAACAGACACAGCCACGCCAATTTTCACATTCCGTGCCATTTTTTATCATGCGCCAATTTTCCCCACTTCATGTGGTTTGTGTACACCTAACAAAGACCCTCGCCTTGTAGTTGGTCTCGGTCAGATGTGTGTTCATTCGCTGTGAACTTTGTGTTGTATTTCATGTGTTTTTTAATTCATTTTGTTTTCTTGGTTGTTTACGGTATGTTTTTTCTCTGTTATTTAAGTTTTTTCTCTATTAAACTGTGCATTATTTTGTATAATTACACAAATACAGTTATATAGATTATCATACATAGCAGCATATGTGTAGAGAACCTAGGATAACCGAAAAAAGTCAGTGCCTTATTTTCTTGAATTTTTTTTTTTTGGCGTGTGCTCGTTTTTGTCGATTAACTCAATAGTTATTCATAAATTACAGTAATTACGACCATGATAAATTCAGATTAGCAATGTTTTATCAGCAGGTAGTGCACAAACAGCTTCTTGCAGTGCCAGTACCCAGCTAGGGCTTGCCATATATGATTTTTGGTAAATTTTTGTTTTCTCATTTGTTTGTTGGGCTATCTTATTATTGAAACTTGGGCAGTGTATGATGGAAAGAGGCTTCTTAACATACATCAAAAATGAAAGAAATCATAGGAAAAATAATGGAGTTCTCTTCTCAGCCATTAGACATCCCTTAAAACTCTTAAAAAAAAAAAATTGTTTACAGCAAATGGCTCGTAGGGGTCTAGAATGGACTCGTACAATGTTAGTTTTCTCTGTTGTTCAAGGTTTTCTCAGTGTTATTCAAGGTTTTTACATTTAGTTTACTATTACACTGTGCATTCTATGGTATAATTAACAATTTTTGTGCTTAAAAATCTTAAAAAAAAAAAAAATATTTACATACAGTTCTTAGGAGTCTGGAATAGATTAATCAGATTTACATGCAACCCAATGGGGAAATTAGGTTTGGGTCACGACCAGAGTTTTGTAACGAATTATGGTCGTGACCAAAGGTTCCACTATGTATATATATGTACACACACAATGACTTATATATATTTAATAAAAACATACACTGTATGTCCGAATTTTTTGGGGAGAGGGAGATGGAGCATCATCTTGATTTGGAGAAAGGGTTTATAAAAG